TGGGAAAAGTTTTGACTTTCAAGGCAGTGAACATGATTTAAATGTCAAAGTAGGCCTATCCTTTGTTTCAAACACTCACCTCTTAATCTCTCACTGGGAATCAGTTGCCTCAGGTTGTCCTATGGTGATGGGTGATGAGCTCTGATCGTTGTTAGGATTTCAGCTCCTGCTTTTAGATTTTAAACGATCAGCGGAGCAGACACGGAGGACAAGGACCAGTTTGTAATTGGTCCGCCCTGGCTCCCACAATGCCGCCTGTCACCGACTCTTTTCAATTTGGTTGGGCGGAAGATGTTAATAATACAATTTTAGGAATAAACATTGGGCGAGAGACATGTGTGCATGATTCCCCTCGTGCCCTGCATCCCTTGCAATAATCAGACCCGTCTATGACGTCACTAACATTTTGGCCCCGCCCAATTGTGTTCATCTAGGACCGTGCATAGTGACTTTGTCAAAGTGGTTGATTAAAAATATTAAAAAAAAACACCCAGCAAAAAGGAAGGACCTGGCCTACGCATGTTATACCCGTAGTTTATCTGAGCTAACAGGCCACTGGTGCTGGGCCTCACAATCATAAACGGTATGATTATTTATGATCGTATGACGTAGTTATGAACAGCGCAAATTGCTTTTACAACAGAAGCCACGAATCAGTCCTTATCCATTTATCGTTATCGTTTCACCTCCAGTAAAGCCCGAAGTAGGTGTTCGGTAACTTTGCGTCAGAATCAAAATGTGTTGACTGAAGTTTGCTTCAGACAATCACAAAGATTAACACAGTAGCATATTTAGTTCAGAAATCCTTTCTTTTGAATTTAAATCGCTCCCAGTTCGAAATTTGCTAGCGTTGTAGTGACTTAAAACGTCATGACATATTCTCGGCTTTGGGGCCAAATCTCACCTGTGAAAAGTTGAGAAGGCTCATAACTCTTTGTATTTCGGTTTTTTGTCATTTTAAATAGGTCATATCCAATCTACATTAAGTCAAGTTTAAACCTGATGGGGATCTTCAGTCTTTTGGACAAGCTGATAATGAGTCTGAAACGGTTACCCGGTTACTACATTTTCGTTGACTTCGCCTGCCTAAATTTCCTCTTCTTCGCCAATTCATGGCTGTTTATGTACAATAAGAATGCATCAATCCCTTTCTCTGAAACGTTTTCAGTGAGTAATTCTGGGTTCCCAGTTTTGAACAGGAAAACCTTTGTACCGAACTACGTCTTTCCTGGATGACATTACAGGAACAGCGCCCTCAGATGTCCAGAAAAGCATGTTTAGTTATAACAGTTTAAAAGTGCACTCTCGATGCATGTCACCAAATAGGAATGTGTAAAAGGGTTTTCATGCACTGCAGAAAAGTACATAGTTGCAGGGAAAAAATGTGTCTAGGAGAAAACTGCATTGCAGCTACACTTTTAAGGTCTTGCATTGCGACAGAGCTGCTGACAGAACTTCAGAAAAGCACCGGAGCCAGCACGCAACCTTTTTGACACTGCTATTCCGAAATCTTGAGAAATGTCTCCATCTCCCTGACACGCCATTAAGGAATGTTTTGATGACTGCAATGAACTTGTCAGGGAACTTAGTGGGATTCGTGGACGAGCTTCCATAGAGTCTTGCAAACAATGGTACTGAATTTTCGGGTCAGCAAAAGAATCGTCTCCAGTCACATTACCAAATAATTGAATGACCACACCTCCTAAATACCAATCATCATAGCCTGAAGAAAAACGACCTCTCAGATGTAACTTTTTGATATGGAATATGACCCTGGCTTTAGGTTACATTTGCCACGGCTTTCGACACTATCACACAAACAGTACCCTCCACTTTGTACTGTATGTAAAACGCAGAAAAAAATCACAGGATGACCTCTTCGAGACGTCACCTTCCATTGTGACATTTTTAGCTGCCTGTTTATTGACATGCATCGCTCACCTCCAGTCTGTGGAGAATACTTAAAGTTCCAGAATACCTTTTTAAATATAGGAACTTTGAGAATTATCACGCGGCTCTTGCTAATAATTTCATCACTGATGATCTAACTTCAGCTTCCACATAAACCAAATTCAAGCCTGTACACATGCAAAGAGTGATCAGAGCTCGAGTTGAAGTTCTCGAATAATATGCATATCATCTGAACTTTAGTGACGTCATCACAACTTCAAGTTGGCCTTATTCACAACACAGCCAAATTGAATCGAAAGCAAAGTTCATTTTTTAATACAGAAGTAGGGAAAAGGCTTCGAATATTGCGATATCTAGGATTTGGGAGGTAGATTGGCAACCAAACCAGTATACAATGATTTCATTTTCCGAAAATCAACATGAGAGAAATAAGAGGCGATTTATTTCCAAAACCAACTCGGCCAATTTCAGACACACGCGAGGTCAATTTTGGTGTTTGTATTAGGTTAATAACGTAACGGGGAGAAAGGCACAGTAGGTATACATGAAGCAAGCATGGAGGTACGTGTACACTGGCATTGTTGCGGTCCAAACGCAATAAAACGAGGAGTTTTGATGACGTGTAGAAAATGCACGATATTATACATTAACCTCTAAAATGCAAAAACGCAGGTTTTCACACAAAGTGCAATCTTATTTTGTCAAGTAATAACCTTCCCCCTCTTTTTTGCCAAGGCAGTTCATGATCTCTCAGGCCTAAATTATTTCCTCCCATTTGAACGATCTGCGCGTCTCCTTCTCCCCTTGCGGCAGGTTGTGTGGACAGGTGCGCCATATAGATGAGTATCGATCAAGCTGGCGATGCGATCATCTCTCTTCGTGTGTATTATCATCTCGTCTCAGTGCGTCTAGGCGCGCCACCGTCTACCCGTTATCGTGTAGGGTGCATCAGTACTGGGCGTAGCCGCCGGCGGATCGAGGATATTATTCCAGTGTAAGATGGTGAATCTCTCCGGAACTTATTTCCGTTTATTGCAACATCACTGATTGCCGTCTAGATATCCTTGGAATTATTTTTTACTTTCCGTTGGAAAACCAAACGTAGAATGGCTTTATAATTACCACTTGGCATGAAACGGTTGACAACATGGTGCATACATTTTGAATAATTTTCCCCAAATGAATTGTCAGTGCTCTGGATAGTAGACTCGGAATTCTTCTTTATCGAAAACGAATTCGATGTTCATCGACTGTGTTTGGGGAAAAATGGAATTGAATTGATTGAGTAGTAGAGTTGACGAAATTCTTGTCTAATTCAAGATGCCTGAAAAATTGTATTCAAGTTTGGAGCACCAGTGATATCACCATTATACAAATTCAACATTTTGTTGACGGAAGGTGGTACTTTCCTCTCTATGTGAAGTCGTTCATCTACTGACTGTACCACACAAGCCGGCACGGAACAACCATTTCATACAACAATGCTGTCTGGTCTGCATCGTCGTTTTAAGATGGCGTTTCCCCTCCGTCCAGATTGTAACCGATTTTTGCGATTCAAGAAGCTCAGTTTTGCGTGGACAACTGCACATACACCGCCGCAGCCCCCGAGCGAAATCAATAATCTGCTTGGGCCGCGCACGTGATGACATGAAACGAGTTGGCCGCACGGAAACTGTGTCTATGAATGTCTGATGTGCGTCTTGTAATTAGAAACTGACTGGCCATATCATAGTAATGCAGATCTTAAAGATTCCAAGATACCTTCTGACGTAGCAAAAAATACAACAGATTCTTTGCCATTTTTAAAATGCTGAACGCTTGTTCTTAAAAACATGGGCAAAATTAAGTCACTGGGCTGACAACAGATAAACCTTTTAAACATTGTTTTTTTTTACCGAAATCAGTACTGTAAATTTCGTAACTGATTTTTTAATCCAAATTAGTTTTCGACATGCTGAGTTAAAATTTCTTTCGAAATTATTTTCGTATTTGTGTAACATTATGGGATGCACTGTTTCATGTGTTTATAATCAATAGACACACCAGAGCTCGAGGAGCAGGGGAGTCGGTCCAAGTTAAAGAAGTGCATCGAATAAGGTCAAGGAAAGTCTAATATTGTTTGATCCGACAGCTCTATAAGCGAAAATTTGATTCTGATCCAAACCGAGAGCCATGGCTCCATCCACTCCGATCATACGGCTTTAGTTGATTCAATCCAAATCCGACGAGGCTGACCAGCAAAACTAGCGACACAAAACCGAATCTGGCAAAATCCGCAGCCACATAAATGTCACCAACTTTGTTATACAATTAAAAAAAATAGTCAGTGCTAAACATAACTTGTCGACGAATTCTAGGTTGTAAATTGAGACATATCGCCGGGTTCGTTCTTGCGTGTCTTAAACAGGTTTCAGTAAGAATCGACGTAACCTTCCATATGAACTTACAAAAAGCTTTACAACATTTAACCCTAAATTTGATGTATTCAAATAAAAAGAGAATAAACGAAGGACAGCCTCAGGCAACACAATATAGTTTAAGGGTATGTGCTCAGTGGTAGCGCCTTGTCAAACGATCTTACCTCAGGCTTACTTAATACAAGAATGCATAAAATGAAGAAAACAAGAACTGGAAAATGTTCAATAAGAACTTAACATTGCCGCGTTTAATAATTTATGAGCAGTAGCGGACAGGTTCAGGTATTTCAAACAAGTAATAAGCACAGCTGAATTTTACTGGACATCGAAGAAGATGATTCAGACAATTTGTAGTGTGGATTTGAATCCATTCTGAATCCGACTGAAATTTGCGATCGGTTTCGGATCTGATTGGACGTGGACATCACTGGTTTGAGTTTAAAGCAACTGCAGATATTTGAAACCACCAAATCCCGTCAAGATCTGCATGTACTTTCACTTTGGAGTATCAACTTCATAGCAACCAGGAAAGTAATCTTTCTAACAACATCCAACGAAAAAGTGGCCAGCGCTTATACTCTCTTCTTATTAGAAGTAGCTCAGCCTCCAGCCACAACCATTTTTTAGACACGGCTTGGGCTTATCGTGCATCAGGTGGAAGAAATCACTCACCTGTAAAATCGGCGAAAGTCACGCAAAGGGAGCTGATCATACCAATCAGGGAAGTGCTTGTTCCGAAGACGTCCCGAAACGTGGGGAGGAACACACCCAGGCACTTGGCAATACCCTCCCGAAAAATCAAGGTGGAGTGAGCGGCGAGGAGGACGAACCAGCCCCATCCTCCATCTGGGGCCACTCCCGGTGACGACATGTAGCCCCGCCTTCTCCTCTTCACTGACTGGCGGCACAGGGGAGTTCGTGGCTCTAGAGAAACATAATCTGTTGCAAAGAGACAAGACATCACATCTTTTTTTGCTTCAAATTTTATTTCACATGAGACCTGCAGCATCACAGCTAATCAAAATATTATGGACTACAAGTTTATTGCCAGTGGTTGGAAACATTCCAACTGGAACCTCTGTTGACGTCTTCTTAATTCAAATGAGAAGTGCACAAAATAGTGCTTGCTTCAGAAAACGAAAGGTGAAATTACATATCTCAAACAGAGCAGTATCCAGCTTTTCACCTTGGATCCCACCATGCCAGGAGGGATGTAGGCCACTGATTTTAAACTCCTCAAGCCCACATGATATTCCGACCAAAAAGCTATAATCAAGTCTTGAAAGTTATTACCATTTCTCTAATCCCAGCTTTCACCAAGCACAAGCACGTTTTACAATTGAAACAATCGCACTGGGGAACTGTACTCTGCCTATTGGCCTTAGATGTAGTGATCGTAACGAACGATGTCTCACTTTAAAAGGAAAGCGCAATTGAAAATATATACAAACCTTGCACGTTTGAGTTTCAGTTAACCTTAGTTTTAATTTGAATGTGGTGTTTGAACGGTATTTTGGTGTATTTTGGTTTGAATACAAATGCAAATACACAGAACTGTGATTTCTTTTCATGGAGGACGTTGCGTTACAATGTATCTGTGCACATTCACTGGAATGTTCGGTATCTTATTGGTCCGAGTATCCTTTTCTTTGGTGATAAATAAGACCCGAGCTGGACCAAGAAAGGGTGCAATTTTCATAGCAACAGAGGCTCCTTTGGTCGGATGAACTTTTCTGGTTTACGAACGACTATGGATTGCATGCGTTACGGTCGCATGGCTACCAACAAAATTGAACATCCCCGACCAACATGGCTCTTTTTACTCTATGCAAGGGTACTTCTGCACGGGGCAGATTTTTCAAAAACAAACCAAGAGCAACCCTTTCTCCAAAAAACTTTTCAGTGAGGGTAATTCACAATTTGGACTGAAGAACATAGACTCAGCAATGTCTTTTAATAGGGACTGATATCACAGACAAAAGCACCCCCTACAGTCCTCAATAAAGCATAGACAATTCTTGGTTTAAAAAGGTGCACAATATTGCCTCCGGTGGCCAACACCCTGATACGTCACCGATATAGCGCCCAATGTCACGGAGCTCTTATTGGAGAATTTGCTGAGCAAATGCATACTGAGGAAAGGTCAGGAACAAAACGGGAACCAGTCAGAAGAGAAACAGCACAGCGTCAAGTGACGTTGTTAATTAAACAAAAAAGGCGAGGACGACAGACTTGAGAATCTGTCAATCAGTCTAATACAGTTGCACACTAACAATAACGCCAGACGGAATGAAGATGCATAAAAGTCAGTAACAGCAATCTCAAATGGGAAACATCGGCACCGTTATACTGTAATCTGCTCTGTAAAGTTATACAAAAATTGACCTCTTAATAGTTATTTTTTTCAATGTTTAATAACAGAAAAAGAGGTATAAGTGAGGGAAAACTGAGGAAAAAGTGGTTAAAAGTAAAGAAGAAAAACACAAAGACAAACAACCAAAATTATATTCTACAATTAACATACAAAAGCAGTACAAATGACAAAATGATGAAATAAAATCAAATAGGAGGCGTGGTGAAATATAAGTTGAAATGAAAGGAGTGTTTCACTTTAATGAAAATTCGTAAGTGGCTCGAAAATGAAACAAATAGCGGTAAATCGAAAAATTAAGTCAACATCAACCCGTAGAGCGTCTGAAACCGTGTACTTACTGCTAAGAGCGTCTCTCACACTCAGTGTACAATTTACTGTGCATTCTTAAAAGAAATAAAGAATGATCGACCCTTTTCTGAAAAGACTGATATCACTAGAGTGGTTTAAACAAAACAAATACAAGAACAGCCATTTGAAGCAGCACTTTATACACATTACCTCTTTCAGTGAAGGTCCGTTGATAGCTAGCTTGGAACTTTCCACTTGGGTCTACTGTGAGAGATGTGAAACTGGACTCAGTGTGAGTCCAGTCAGACACGGCATGCGGTGCGTGCTTTCAGATTGTGCACAATACCAACGGCTGTTTAACTGTCATATACGGCTCTTTCATGACATGCACAGGAGATTAGGGTTTGCCAAAAGACAGAAACTTACGGTATTGAATTAGAGCTCGAAGCAGTGACCACAATATGAAGTGAATGCCGAAAGCCGTCGCGTCGTTTGTTGCTGTATTATTGAATTTTTTTTACATTTGCTTCAAGGTTTGCGTTAGCCTATGATAAAAGATGCTGACTTGGCTGTAAAACCGTTAACAACGTCTTAAACTCAGTGGACAGGACTAACGGCTAGTCCCAAGGAAATGAAGCTTCTTTGCCTAAAAGCCTTCCAGCCATCTAGCCCTTAGCAACAGAGCAAGATTACATTATCACCAATCCAACAGAGACACAAGGAGCGTGATTCATGCGAGTCCATCATCGTTCAGTCAGTTCATGCCAAACCTCAGTGAAATTGCCTTCTTGGTTTTCCCATTTTAGTCAGACGAGCAAGAATAATTTCAAAAAGTAGCGTTTGCAAAGTGTCGGGTTTCTCCAAAAAACTGTCGGCAACACTCTATCGTGAAGCATAAAACAGCCGTTGCATCACTTTTTCCTGGATTAGTTCTGTCTAAACGGCAGGTGAAAGAAGATGAGACTGTTCTTTCACAATTCCAACTCCCGTCCACTTCATTTACTTACTCGTTATAATGAAGCTTTCTTGCCATGGAACAAATCAGCCAACAGAACCATAAGCCACTGGTGGCACAACGTTCGTGGGAGGTTATTCGAACCGTGGAACACCTCTTCCACCGATAGGGTATTATGATTTGTAAAAAAATGCGCGCGCATCAGATTCAAGAACGCATGCGCGAGCGTTGCGCCAAAACATTTATTGAGTCTCCTTGGGGTAACCCATTGTTCACGGTGACGACACCATGCGTCAGGCGTAGCCATTGGGGACCTGGGGAGGGGCACGTGCCCTCACACATTCCCGGTGCCCCAGGCCCCCCCCCCTGAAAAAAATGGATGAATGGATACTGAATAAGGCTAACAAAGACTTAGCCCAAAAACACACACCACTGAAAGCTGGTGCCCCCATAAGATGCTGGTGCCCCTTTGTGCCCCCCACTGGTAAAATACTAGCTACGCCACTGGACTTTAATGACCAAAGCTACGTTTTTTAGCTCGGAAAATATTGAAATTCGCTCTTTAGCGAGTTACTATGGATTCCAACTCATACAGTTCATGCTCAAAAAGCAGGATTTCCTTAATCATCTATCATCAGCAAAGAAAGACCTCCAGCCTCTGTCAACAGATTAGATGCATCAGCTGAAGCTGAAAACTGGATCGTATTAGCCACTAGGGTTACTCTCCTGGTAATAAGATATCTGATGCTTTCCTGCATGTCATCCCATATACTCATAACTTATGGGGGGATCGCTTTTTCACCCATGCTGACCCTTTTCTTTGGAATGAATTTCCTCCTTATATTCGAAGTTTATCACTCTTAAAATTTAAAGCAGCCTTGAAGACATTCTTGTTTCCTGGCTAAACACTTCAGACCTGGGTACTTGTATCTATATTTGTTAGGACCTTTTCAGTAACTGTCATATTGTTTTTGATGCATTCATGTACATGTGTTGTTTTCTTTTGTAAAAGTGTTTGCGCCTCGAGGGTCACTTTTGACGGATTTGGCGCGCTATAAATTCTCATTGTTATTACTACTGCATATCCTCTGTTGGGAGTGTTAGTGCCTCGCCTTTCCATCAAAGCAGCGAGGAGAGTAACCTGTCCCAAGCGACACAAAATATATTACGATGTAACTTGTAACAATGAATTTCCCCTTTGTTGTTTATAGAACAGTGATATACCTTCAAGCAGTATTTCTTTCACTATCTCTTCGTAAGCAGGAGGGTTTCGCAAATAGAAATGCTCATACCGAAATTTTACATATTTTCACCAAGAAGAGCAAAGTTAGTTAATGACGAGAAAAGGATTTCTTGACTGTCAAAATCAGGAGTTCCCTCATCAGGCCACGGAAAAGGATTCAGCCCAGAGAGTCGCCAGTATCATTGAATAGCAATTAATTCCATCAGGTTGGAAAACACAAACTGTAACCCGCGTTCACATGATTGAATCTATTGTCCACCCGATTTGCTGTAACTAAATTGGCATATGAAAACCTACGGTATTCATTTACTGCTCAGCTCATTAAGGTAATTGCTTTATAACGCCTACAAAGGCCGACTGCTGTCCGTGATTGCTAATTAAAATAGTCCAGGTGTTTGGGTGTTTTTCTTTTCCATTTTTAACATCACTACAACAATGACCAGGGCCAATACAATAGTTTCCCTTTGAGAAAGATTCGAATGACTAATCCTCGGTGGCAGCCTAAACGGATTTTGATAAGCAATTCCAGCTAAGACTGATGCCAATCAAACTCTTATCAAAACTAAATTCATGAATGGTACCACAGATCGCCGGTGCATGAAAATATTCTTAGATCAACTAGCACTTTGTTGATCGCCTAAAAACTACAGGTATTATTTTGCTAGGCTTTCTTCAGATGGTGAGCCCTCACTCAACACATGAATTATGAGCCTGTTTATCGCACTACTGGTTAGTTTTTGTCCAAAATATCATTGCTCAGGGAAAACAGAAGACAGAAAAAAGTGCGTTTGTGCTTGGGTTAAGGGTGAATCAGAAGCCATTGCAACCAACTGAATCACAGACAAAATCATTTAGTTATTATATTTTATCAGTTATAATCTGCGTGGCTATTGCCATTTGCATGTGTAAGCCGTGAAAACAGTGTTTGGTTAACAGGATGCCTCATTCAAATACCATAGAGATGGATAAATGAGTGTGGCTGAGACAATTTAAAAGTGAAAATTAAACAAACTGCATTGATTTCGTCTTTCTAAAACAATGAGTAAATCTTAAAAAGAAATACTCATTCTCAACGCAGC